AAAGAGTTATCCAAAAAGGCAAAGTAAAGGCACTATTTGGGCTTTTACAACCTGACAGGCTAACCCCTGGTTTAACTCGGAAAAGCCAATCAAATTGCCATGGTGGTACATGTAAGAAGATACAGCTGTTAGATGCATTGCTACAATGTACATGTGACTTACAAACATTGGCAGTTTTTGATTCATTTCCATATATGTTGGCCACTCTGCAGGTATAGCTGGTATCATTAAGGACTTGTGAAATATGGAGAGTATTCTTGTCACAAACTTGTTCTGAGTCACATGGAGTCCAAGTGTAAGTAGGTGGAGGGTTCCCTTCTGCTTCACAGTTTAGAGTGAGACTTTGTTGTACAAAAGCAATATACTCAGATTGAAAATTAGAAATCTTGGCTGGAGCTGTACATCAAATTGGAAAATAAAAATCAGATTAATAACAGCATCTACCCAAAGATACATCTGAGTGAGTTGTCTTCAATAGCTAATGGAAGGGGTCCAACCCTACTAGTACACTAATATATACCAGAGGGAATTTTTTATCTAGTCTGATGTTGTTTTAGTTCAATTCACTTATATGGGTTTGCAAAATGTTCTTCTAATTTGTTGGTCTATTGTGGTGTCAAGTTGTCTGGATATTAACTGGGTGATCCTCTTGCCATTCATAAATGCATGTTAATAAATTACTGGTTATCAAATTCTCCATATTCCAATAATTAAACAGAAAAATTTTCAGGTTCTCACTCAGAAAACTATTGAGGTGACATTTCAAATCTTTGAGCTGAGATCTTGCCAGATATAATGAAATGGAATGTTAAAGATTTTGAAATCAGCATCAACTGAACATACTTTCTGACACAGACAGTGGAGCACTAGAGTCTCCTCACACAACATCTAATCTTAATTTTAAGAGGAGTTACATTTACAGGGTGGGTGAACACCTCCCTGAACATGACAATGCTTCAAGCTGCAACCATTTTGGTCCCCATGGTAATGAAAAATATATTTGGTGACTAACATTCAACAAAAGTTGCCAGTTGGCAACCAACAGATAAAAAAAAGAAGGGAAAATTATTGGACAAATTATTAATGAATTGACTGTTAGTTGATGCTTCTTACACATTCATTTCATATGAAACCATATGATAATTAATGAAATATGATATGCTTTCTTACCATGGATGGAGCTTGGAAAAAAGCTCTTTACAACAGCTGACTATTTATATTTTCTGAGCAGTGAAAACATAATCATGTTTTCATCAGCATTTTTATTCCAAAATGTTTTGATGGTATTTCCAAATTTAAGATGCTTTGCACCCAAAAGCAAGCAGGCACAAATCATGTATTCTATTTAGTTCCATCACATGAGGTTAAAGTTGTGAAAAGTAAAATTCTTGAAGAAGGGCCAGTTCCAAAAAAGGCCAAAGTAGACTTCAGTACCACCATCAAACCTTCCATTTTTATGGTAAAAAGTATGGTGACTAAATATGTAGTGATTAAAGATGTTATTCACACTATCAAAGGCTTTAATACCACTACTTTAGCTCACTTTAAATGAGAGATGTATCTCAGTTGAGCAATAGACAGAAATCTCATTAAACATGATTTGTTACTGGGTCTCAGCAACTTTGTAGTAAATTGTTTCTCCTTCCAGAAATCATAGTTTCTTCATTCTCACTCTCTTGACTGTTCTTACATGTACAATCTTTTAATCATCAAGGGATATAATTTTTTTTTAAGGGGGAGGGGAAGGGATTCCAACTAAATTTTTTTGTGGAGACCATTTTACAATTGAAGGTCACCAAACAGTGATTTTTTGAAAAATTGAGCTTATGGAGCCCAGTATGGATGTACTTAGCCAAACATTAATACAAGTAACTGATAGCATACATTTGAACACAGAAAATAGTATAAGGAAAGTGCATCTGTGTTTAACATCAGTCAAAGCTTTTTCATTGCATACTCACAATTAACATTCACATAAACTGTTTGATTCTCTGGTTTACCAAAGCCATTGTATGCTGTACAGGTATAATTTCCTGCATCAGTCCTGTTCATGTTTGTTATAGTCAGCACCTTTCCTGCTTGAACCACACTAGTACTTCCTTGGTTCCCAGGCTCTTCTTTGGTCCAGTTAATGCTTGGTAATGGTGTACCTGAAGCTTCACAGGTTAACTGCAAGTTGTTACCTTCAAGAACAGTTGGTTCACCTCTAATTCCAATGATATTTGTTGGGACTAAGAGCAATTAAACAATCACAAGTAAACCTCAAGGATAATTGAATGGTATGTACACATATACAGTGAGCAATATGCAAGTGATAATACTGTTAACATGACTTTTAAATGTTCTTCACAAACCTTACACATGCAAAAATGAAATTCACACATTATGATTGTGCAAATTATACAAGAACAGTCCCTGGATTATAATCCACTATAACTGCTTTAATATTCACAAATGTCTGCCTCAAGAAATTCAGTGGACCTTCAAAAGGCCACCAAATTTTTCTGAATTCTTTTCTCAGCTTAAACCCCATTAATATTTTAACTGCAGTTTCCAACAAATAATTTTGTAGAAATTAATACTTAGACCCACAGGAGCTGTTTACAAAAGTATTTTTCTAAAATATAATTTATATAGGCACTTTAGCCCCTCAAAGTGTGAACAGCCAATTATAACGTGTCACCATAAATGACTCCTGCTATGTTTTTGCCAACAAAATATCATGGTTCTTGATATCAATCCTTAAAACATCTCCTATTTTCAGCTGCATATAGTGATCTTTTCTATACCTCTGCATATAAAAGTAAGCTGTGAATGGGTAAAGATTAAATAGAAAATAGTCCTTGACTGTGAGCCAAAGGGTTGAGTGTAAGAGCAAGAAATTAAAGAAATCCCAAGAGGAATGGCAAAACAGTTTTGCTGAAATGGAGAAGGGCTTGTGTTTTAAGTAATCTTCCCTGATTGCTTGCAACCAGCAACCATCAAGAGATGCTGCTGCAGCAAGTTCAAGTCCCTATAAACTTGAAATCAAATTGTTGTCTAGTGGGATTGAACTATGGTCTGTCATGTGAACTTGCTAAACAAATTATGGTTTTGCAGGAAACCATCTAACAGAGTCTCCTGAGACTCCCTCAGATACTTTTGTGTATCTATAGGCATATTGAACTATACCTTGACATGTGGTCACCCAAAAGTGTAAAATTGTATCTGACTGCAAAACTTTGAAACAGAAAAGACATACCTACACTGAACAATAAGGGCTAAAACTAAGTGGATCACAACCCCCCAC